CGAGCCTTGAATTGAGATAGGCGCGGATTCGAAACGTGGGGTTGCGCACGGGAGGATTTACATGTGCGTGTATGGGATCCGAGGGCCCTGGACTTGGATGTGGCGGTCGGAGAAGAGAGCGGTGTGAATACGACGCGCGCGCACCAGCGCGGAGGGATGGGACAGGATGGGCAACGGTGCACGGAGGGGTGGCGGCGGCGGCTGGGAGCGCGCAGGGTTGGGTGGATAGAGGGCGGGCGGGATGTACGGGACACGGGCGGGTGGTGGCCGCTGATGCAGAGGAAGGGGACGGCGGCGGGTGGGATGGCGACGGGGGACTTGGACACGGACACGGACACGGGCCGGAGTGGGGGACAGAGGGTGGAGAGAGCGGACGGTCGGAGGGGAGGGAGGGAGGAGAGGGAGATTGTGCGGTAAGAGGAGGAAGAGAGGGCGAGGGCGAGGGCGAGGGCGAGGGCGAGGGGAGACGGACGCGGGCGGATGAGGAAGAGTGGCGGGAGGGAATGAAGCGGCGGGGTGTGAAGGGATAACACACCAGGATGATTAAGATGCGGAGAGGTGGGGAGGACGCTGCGAGGAGGGACGGGCACGTGGATACAACAAGGGAACATGCACGTGGATAGTAAGTGGACGCAGGGCAAGCGAGCAATGATGAACAAGGACACAGGAGGGTGGGACGCACGTGTGAGGTGCGCGGAGGAAGGAGGGAGGAAAGGCAATGCAATGCGGGTGGATATGGGCGTGACGCGGGATGACGGGGACGGCGACGACATGGAGTAGAGGCGATGGAGAGGAGCCATGGTCAGCGACACGACAAGTGGGACGTTGGACGATGCAATTGCGGGCGTCCGGATAAGACGATAAGGGCGCGGGGAAGGAATGTGCTGAATGCAGAAGAAGAGGACGAAAATAAAAGTGAATGGATGGATGTGACTGATGAATGGGAGCTACGAGGAGGCGAGGATGAGAGCCGCGTTGATTAGGGTGTGTGCGATGGGACTCGAGAGTCGAGGGCAGACGAAGCGACCCAGATCCATCACGGGGTGCGCGCAGAACTTAGAAGCCAGTGTCGGTAAGAGGCGTCGGAGAGGACTGCTGAAAAGGGCCCAAAGGACGCGGAGCCAGAGACTCAGCCTAGGGCGGGCCGTTTGGGCGAGGGCCGCGTGAGCGGGGGGTCGACAGTAGTCTCTTACAAACAGACACTACAACAAATGTCACTCGTACCTCTAGATTGACAGGGTGAAATCAGCGACGAGCCGCGACCACACACATCGGTGCGTTGATGTGAGTCACGTGACTACGACGCCCGACGCCCGACACCCGACACCCGACGCGATGCCGCCGCGGCCGCCAGAACCCCACTCATCGCGCCCGACGGGGGGCAGAAGTCCTTTGACATCGCCATCAACTGCCTCAGACCCACTCTCAAAACTCATGACCTCTTAACATGAGAATCACGATATGACTTGATTAAAATCGCGATCGCGTCCACTGGCAGCTGAAAATCGTGATGGGGCCTGAAACTCATGTGATTGTGCTTCAGAATCACATTTTCTGCCAAAATATCAAAACCAAGGGATAATTCTAATCAGCAACCCCCCCGTACCCATATACGGGAGTTGCTGCTATTCAACAACCCGCCATCACGGAATGCTATTCAGCAACCCCCTGATAAAGAATATCCGGATCAGCATGCCAGTGATGCCGTGCGCGGCACTGGGCGGCACGCCCTCAAAGGTACGAAGCTGAGCAAATATGGCATGACTCAGACACCGGCCAAGGACTCATCTCAATGGCTGCTTTTGCATAATGGCTCTGCTGTACCTCGCGTTCCGTATGGTGGCGTCCTTTTTTTTGCAGCGGTTTTCTCTTTCGGCTATTTGTTAGTTTATGTTCTTGTTTTCAAAACGGGCGTAACGGAATTAGATCGATGAACCACTGGATGTAGACTGAGATGGGAGACAAGCACTGAGCCCGGCAGCCGATAGGTTTAGGCAGTCTGAAAGCGTCACCAATGTGTTCATCACGTGGGGGTTGCTGAATAGCAGATTGCTATCCGGCAACCCCCGTACATGGGTACGGGGGGTTGCTGATTAGAATTATCCGTTGGCTAACAGCTGATGTGGCTGACTAACTTCATCATTAAGGAGCTTTGCCGTTGTTCGGAGCCATAGGTAGGTCGCTGCCGCGCAGTCAGTGGTGACGCTTTCAGACTGCCTAAACCTATCGGCTGCCGGGCTCAGTGCTTGTCTCCCATCTCAGTCTACATCCAGTGGTTCATCGATCTAATTCCGTTACGCCCGTTTTGAAAACAAGAACATAAACTAACAAATAGCCGAAAGAGAAAACCGCTGCAAAAAAAAGGACGCCACCATACGGAACGCGAGGTACAGCAGAGCCATTATGCAAAAGCAGCCATTGAGATGAGTCCTTGGCCGGTGTCTGAGTCATGCCATATTTGCTCAGCTTCGTACCTTTGAGGGCGTGCCGCCCAGTGCCGCGCACGGCATCACTGGCATGCTGATCCGGATATTCTTTATCAGGGGGTTGCTGAATAGCATTCCGTGATGGCGGGTTGTTGAATAGCAGCAACTCCCGTATATGGGTACGGGGGGGTTGCTGATTAGAATTATCCAAAACCAAGGTGCCATTTATTTATTTTACAAAGTGAACAGCATATACGAGCAACTGTTTGGACAAAAGGATACCTATGGGAGGTGCGTGTTGAAAAATATTACGGAGTATCTTTCAACCGTCCTACCCCAGGACTTCTCATACACGGATACCAGTGGTATCAATGGCGATCAACTGCCCAGCCTGTGTTGTCACATACAACGTATGCTGCTGAGCAACCCCACCCCGCCCAAACGCAGCCGAAGTCGGGCTATCGAACTCGACGGGATTCCCCGGCGCATTGAGCTGCCCGAGCATCCCATTCCCCCGGGTAGACGGGAAGAATAACGTGAGCGTGTCTGGAAGTGTCGCCGCCCACACGCGCCCCCCTGCATCAAACACAAAGTCGTCGAATTCGTCCGTCCCATTCGCGGATCCGAGCACCTGAATGGGCCCGGCTTGCGCGACATTTCCGCCACGCACTGATATTGGAACCCGCGAGAACGTCTTCTTCTGCGAGTTGGTGAAATACAGATCACCGCCGCGTACGTGGAGGCCGTTGATGCCGAACGCAGGCGCGGGTGCGCCGGGCGCGAACGCATCGTCTTGAGCTGCGATGCGCACAACGCCCGTCCGCAGATTGATTTGCCATATTCGTCCCGCAGCGGTGTCCGCGCCGAGGACGAGGTCAGGCTCCCCCGGAACGGCGCCAAGCCCGTCCAGGAACATGCCATCGGGGACGTCTGCAGCCTTGTTGACCACAGGCGGATCACCCGAGCTCAGATCCACGCGCCAGATGGCGATAGTGCCGGGGAGAGCGCTAAGTGTCGTGACATTGAGCACAAAGGCGATGATCCCGTAAACGTCAGGCTGGACCTCAGCAATGCCGAAGAGAGTAACATTTGGGAAGGTGTGGACTTCGTCGAAAGTCGGGTTCTCAACGGTGGGGTCGAGCATATGGAGCGTCGAGGACTCCGGAGAGGTAATTAGAAGTTTCCCGTTTGGTCGCACGGCAAGGTTCTCGAGGAATAGCCCAGTAGGTGATTGGAGTACGAGTCTCGTGGGGAACGTGAACGACGCAGCCGCACAGACGACGAGGGAGAGGAGTAGAGGGAACAGCATTACTCTGAACAAGTATCAAGTAGCTGGCAAGACGTAGCAGGGCTCTTCACTAGTCTGTCCGTCGCTTATATATTTGTACCTGCGGCGTGGGGATCTTCCACACGAGCTGAGCGTTAGCTTCGGAGGCGCTGAGTCATCGTATTCCCAGTTCTCCTGCTCTTGAATGTTGTTAAGGCGGTTGCAAGAGGTTGGAATTGAACAGTAGAACAGATAAGTATCAAACATAATTCTCGCTGCACAGTGAAATGATACTATCGGTCCTACGGACAGCCCGCTGAAATGCAGATGGTATTTTTGATACGGCAGGTATGACGGCGAACAGAGATTCTTTCCACCACACCACCACACTGGCGCGGAAGATCGGGCTCCAGAGCCTTTAAAGTGACCGAGGATGAGATTGAAAGCAATGAAGTCAGGAGTATGAAGGGCAGAAAGTAGCAGCCGCTGCCTAGGAGCGCAAGCGGCGGTGAAAAAGCTCAAACGAAAGAGCTTTTGGAAGAACATCACAGCAAGGGTTTCATGAAGATCTGTGCAGGAGGGCGACTCCGACAGCCACAGCAGCTGAGAGCAAGAACCATGGCGTGAGATGTTTCGTCAGCCACGCACTCAGGGGCATCCCGATGATCTCCGACGCATTTTCCGGATAGGGCACTGTTCGGAAATCACCGAGGTCAAGTGACGTCGCTTGTGGCTCTCCTCTCTGGATGGACGCGTTCTCGGGCGAGATGTTGGACGGCTAAGATCTCGGCGCTAATACAACCCAACTAGGAAGGGGAGAGGTACTCAGATATGACGTAGCGCGAACACGGCCTCTTGTATTATTGTCTACATGTGTTTCAGAGGCAGTCCAGGGTTAGAATGCCTGTGTCTGAATGGTCGATTGGTCGATGTTTTTCCTTTCTTCTTAAGTTTCCTCCTTGAAGGAGTTGATGAAAACTTCCGTGGAAGCATGAGAGGAACTCACTAGCGGGAACATAGCCTCTTGTTATTGCTGTTCTCTTAAATTTCAGGGGGTCAAATCTGTGTGTCTGAGTTCATAAGATTCATTACTCTTTTATTTGCACCTCCTTCAACTCGCCAACAAGACTGTACCAAAAATTCAGACATGGTGTGGTAGGAACACAGCCTCCTTTCAATACCAGTGTGGATCCGCTTTCAGAGTCCAGAGTTCAAATCCCTCTATCTGAATGGTCTAGCTTTCTTTTTATTTTTCCTGCCTCCCTTGAACAACCCAAGAAATCTACCCGGATGTAGGAGTAAGAGACTCAGACATGGTGTAGTGTGGACATGGCCTCTAGTAATAATCACCTCTGGGATTATATCAGAGGCAGTCCGGGGTTCGAAACCCTGTATCTGAATTTCACGTCTCTTCGCATTTTTCATTTGCTCCCATCCCTCCTCCCTCCTCAATTCAAATCCCTACAACCGCGCCGATATCGGTATATTCAACTCGATGGAGTTGTTATTCAATCAAGTACTGTACCTACGTGATATTCACTCCTTCGTTCTGTTCATCGTACCAACGGCTCCAGCACTACTCGAGAGGAGAGTACAGCCCAAAACAGACCTCACTGCCCCTCTATTTTATCATTATTTTTTCCGGGGTTGACGGCAAGGTTGCACTGAGTTTGAACCACGGTTACAGTAGACTCTAAATTCCCTGCTACTTCCTTGCCCATATTTCTCTCCTCTGCCCTCGCTTATTATCTCCTCTCTTCCGCCTCCAACCACGCGCCCCAGGTTCCTACATCAAAGGCGAATCGAACTGAGTCGACTCGAGGAGCGGTTGAACATAGATCACGTGCATGGTTGAATACCACTCCGGCCGCGTTCGACCCGATTTTCGGGAGACCGCCCTAGCCCATGATATCATAGACCCATATTTCAGAGGCAGCCATGATCAAGGGCTGCGGCGGGCTGCGGTAGGCTGCGGTCCTCTTTCCTGATTTTGGTGGACTGCTCATAGACCCACCAGTGTTCAACGCCAATACTCAAACACGCCGATAAAACTATCCGGATGGAGAAGAAAGAAACTCAGATGTGGTGTAGTGGGATCACGGTCTCTTATGATATGTAAATTCTGTTCTACAGAGGCAATTCAGGGTTCGACCCCCTGTGGCTGAATTCGGGTGGATGATCTTTTTCGTCTTGCGCTGCTAACTTCATTTTTTCACCGCCCTGCGCAGAACGCACGGTGAAACCCGCTCTGAAGGTTGAATATCCAGTGTCCCACAGCACGAAGAAAGAACGAGAACCCCGCTCCGTCTACAATTATTCAAATGCTAATATTCAAACAAGCTGATAAAATCACCCGAATGTACTGGAATGTAGCTCAGATATGGTGTAACGGGAACACAGCCTCATATTCTGGGTACTCTCCAGTAAAATTGACAGGCAGTCCGGGGCTCGATTCCCTGTGTCTGAATAGGGAATCCATTGTCGATTCTTGTTTTTCCTTTTCATTTCTCTCGCCTTCGAAATCAAAATTTTCTCGAAGCTTCAAGTCGAACATTCCCGCTCGCTCCTCGAATATCTAACAAAACAAGTACCCCATTCTGTCTACAATTATTCAAACACTAATACTCAAACAAGCTCATAAAATCACCCGGATGTACTGGGAAGCAAGTCAGACATGGTGTAGTGAGAACACAGCCTCCCTTCATGGCGCAATCTGTAGCTTTTCAGAAGCAGTCCAGGGTTCGAGTCCTTGTGTCTGAAATCCGTTGTTTCGAAGGCCTTTTTCTTTTGTTATTTTCCATTCCTACTCATCAAACGCGGCGGTATTACCTCAGCTCGAAGAAAGACTGCTCAGAACAGAAATCCCACTCATGATCACTCGGTGTACATCCAAACAACATCCATTTTTTTAACAAAAACTAGCAATAGCGCTACATACCAAGTAATTGCCTCTCGCACCTCCCTCTCGCCCGCACCTACCTCCCTATCTACCTACTCCCAACGCCACCCACCCGACCCACACATTCCGGAATCACCAACGCTCGTCACGGTTCCTTCGTGCTCATCGCGGCAAGGCGCATGGGATTCGGAGTTGCGAGCGCGGGGGATGTGGAGTTGCGAGCGTGTGGACTCGGGACGCGGACCTGCACTTCGAACGGGGGATAGGCATCTGGAATCTGGATGCGCGCCAAGCTGGGCCCTAATGCGGAGTCAAGACGGGACGTGATGCGCGTGAGGGTTGGAGTTGCGAGACGCGGGGAGTCGAGACTTGGATTTGCGACCGCGGGGGTATGTATCTGGATGCGCCCCGATTTGAGAAGGGCTGGGGCATTGCGAACGCGGGAATTCCGATTCGAGACTTGGACTTCGGATATGCTTGTAAGGAGTCGGGATTCAGATTCAATCCAGATCCGAAGCTGCGGACGACGCAGCCGCGCGCGGGCGCGAGCCTTGAATTGTTAGGCGGGCATTCCAAACGTAGACTTGCGCACGCGGGAATTCGATGTGCGTGAATGAGATCCGAGAGCCCTGGGCTGGATGTGGCGGTGGGAGGAGGAAAACGGTGCGGATACGATACGCGCGCACCGGCGGCAAGGGCGTGGAGGGATGGACAGGCGGCGGGAGCTGAGAGCGCGCAGGGTTGGGTGGATGGAGGGCGGGCGGGAGGCGCGGGACACGGTCAGGTGGTGGGCGCTGATGCGGTGGAAGGACCCGATGGATGCGCGGCAGGGTGCGATGGTGACGGCGATGGCGAACGTAGACAGGGCCATGAACCGAGGTGGGGACAGAGGGTAGAGAGGGCGGACGGATGGAGGGGAGGGGAGGGAGGAGAAGGGGCGTGTGCAGTAAGAGGAAGAGAGGGCGAGGGCGAAGGCGAGGGCATGGAAGGAGAGGGAGGCGATGGGAGACGAACGCGGACGGAGGGAGGAGGTGAAGCGGCGGGGTGTGAAGGGAGAGCACACCAGGATGATTAAGATGCGGGGAGGCGGGGAAGGGGACGCTGCGAGCGCGAGGAGGGACGGGCGCGTGGATACGAGAAGGGGACGTGCGCGGGATACTAAGTGGACGCCGGGTGGGCGAGCGATGACGGGCAAGACACAGAGGGTGAGGGGAGGAAAGGCAATGGAATGCCGGAGGATATGGACGCGTGATGTGGGATGACGGTGACGGCGACGACGTGGGTTAGAGGCGATGGAGAGGATGAGGCCATGGGTGTTTCGATGGTTAACGACGCGACAAGTGAAAATGTTCACCACGCAAAATATTCCCAAAAACAGTGGTCAACTCACCCGACTTTTGAACCATACAAGTGTTTCAGTACCTTAAACTGAAAATTTGAACAGATTCCTTCACAAAAAGGCATTGGATACTCTAGAAGAGGTGAAACCATCCCTTGGCCATCCATTCTGGGTTGTGGCTTTCGTTAGTTGACATGGTTAAACCACGGTCTTGGCCATAACCAACTGAATGGGCGTAAATACTCAATTCTTTGATATAAACTGCCCCAATGAACATGTTTGAATAATCTGGGGCCTCTTCAGGCCCACCATGTGCCAGGAAATCACTCTTTTTCTTCAGCGACAACGTGGCTTGTGCAAGCCATTCTGTCTGATGCCATCAAAATGGGCGTGGGCCGGCTTGTTATGAAAAGTCAAGGAATTCATGCCTAATAAAGTCCATACCATCTCAGTTATATCTAATTTACCCACTCCTAGCATGTTGCAGCGAGATCTTGGTGAATTGGCACCGGGTTGAGAAAAGTTGAACATGTCAAATGCCATCACAAAGCCATTCTGGTGACAAAGTGGCTTGTGCCCGGTGTGGGTGGAGTTTTTTGATTCAAGCTTTGGAAATCATTCTATTTCTATTTACATCGTCATATGGAGTCACTACACTCCAAATAATAGTTAGTTTCATTTTATTTCGGCCACTAGTTGCTGCGAGCAAAATGGCTTGCTCAATAATCCGGAACTGGCGAAAAATCATGGGAATCATTAAAAAAGACTTTTGAAAATCATTCTATTTCTATTTACATCGTCATATGGAGTCACTACACTCCAAATAATAGTTAGTTTCATTTTATTTCGGCCACTAGTTGCTGCGAGCAAAATGGCTTGCTCAATAATCCAGAACTGGCGAAAAATCATGGGAATCATTAAAAAAGACTTGGAATATCGTAGGGAGGGTGGGCATCGGTGAGCGTGGGCGGCGTGGGTTTGAGCAGAATGGCTTGTGTCACGTGCCACAAACCATTCTGCGCGAGCAAAGTGGCTTGTGCTGGCTTCTGTAGAAATGATGTCGGTGATTAATCCCTTGAAGTTCAGTACCGAATTCAACCAACATTCTCCTTGTGCGCATGAACGGATGCATTACATTGTGCACCAGCTCGAATAATTCTCTACAGTGTTAGTGACATTGGAATTGCAGGTTTGACCCTCGCTTGTAGGGCGGGTGGCTTGGGCGTGGCTTGTACAAACGGGCTCGCAACATGCAAGTAATTCCTTCGACGCATCCTGGCGGAGGCTCCCGATACCGGCCTTAGAGATGTGGTTGAACATATGTGGCTTCGTGGGCTCCTCAGCGGCTCGATCGCTCCATGTGATCCAACTGGGGCTGGGCAAAAGTGCCGCGCCTGCCGCGGCACTGACGCGGCACTGCCGCGGCACTGCCGCGCATTGACGCGGCGGTGGCTGTGTTATTGCCGCGGCGCTGCCGCGCAGCGTCTAACTCAGTCCACAAGGGTTCATCGGTCCTGAATTATGTTCGCGCACGCTTTTCTGGTTGCAATACATAGTTTAGACACGAAAAACCCATAGTTGAAATTTCACTAGTCGGGCTTAGTCGGACCCATGTAAACTGCCGCACACTTTCTGAAACTGTCAAATATCCTGCATATGGGCGTGAATCCAGGTCAAACCGTGTTGTTCACTTCAATAAATTGTTCAGACCCCAAAAATACTATCCTGACTTTAATTAGGACTGAGACCACTGCGTCAGATTGATTTGTAGTGCCAACTTGAAGCACGACATGGTGACTAATGGTTAAATAGCTGCACCACTGCTGCTCAGACTAAATGATGGATCTATGTACCTATAGCTTGAGTCTACAGATCAAACTTACCACATTGAATTCCCTGCTTGGTGAATTCGTGGAAATCAGTCGGAGTGGAACGTGGACTGACTGCAAATTGTGGTCCCCAAATCAATAGTCGGAGGGATACGCCGCACTTCGAGCGTGGCTTACTGTCTCTCCATACATAACTCAAGAAGGCTGACAACTCGTCAACACTTCATGGAATTCGGGGAAAAAATGTAAAACTCAGGCCTCAGGTGATGACAATATAGATAGACGCGATGCCGCGCCACTGATGTACTGTACACCGCCGCATATTTTCAAATA